AATTAAAAAATATTTTTGTGTTGGTTAGAGAATAAAGGCTATTTATATATAACAGCTAAAATTTAAAAAAGATTAATTTTGATGCCCAAAATAACCGTTCTACGCGGACGAAGTCGCGGCCACAGCTACGCATCACTTTTCATTGCATAGGGTGACGTGATCTCAAACATTTAACAGGTATTATTTATTTATTATACATTGTTTTTACTATACGTCGTAATAAAGAATCCATTTTCGACATCTTCCGATTATGTTATTGTCAGTAATGGCGAAACATCGCGAACAAATTCTCTATTACGACGGTCCAAACAGTTCGAAACCCTAAAAGGCTATGCATTAGTTATTCATAAAGTTTGTCCCACAAAATAAGTTCCCACCCGAGCCCAAATAATTGAATGATTACGCACAAAATAACTCTACAGGTGTCTACTACGAAGTAAAAAATTGTCAAAAAAAACGCGCATAGTAAAACCTGTCGCAGACACGTGCGTCCGTCTTTGCGGGCAAAGACAATGACAGTCGCACCACGCCTTCGCAAAAAAAAAACAATGACCATAGACAACTTTTATGTTTTGTTTGACTTGTGATTCCCACGCTTAAATGAGGCTTTAACTTTGGCATGTCTTTACTAAAATAAACATCGCGATTTAGATTGTCTGTATATATATAAATTTATATATATTAAAACGTATTTAATTCTATAAAATGAGGCAGAGTAGCCTAACTGCAATTAATTACTTGAGTTATTTATATTTTTATAGTCTAAAAATGTTAATCTACAAGAGCACGGTGACGGAAAATTGTTATCATAATTCTTACACAAATAATACTACAAATTCATTTTCGCCTAAGTTAATTGCGCATTTTTTTACCCTCCTGATTGAATATCATGTTTTTTGTTATTAGGCCACTATGCCCCTATGAAAGAATTTTTTTTATATGCAACAGATACAGAAAACATAAGAAAAAAAAATACTTGTCGGAAGTTGTAAAAATTTCATGTAAAACATAATTAATAAAAAAGCACTTTGGCATAAGCTATCATGTTAGTTGACATAAGCGAAGCTCGATCCATTTCGAATATACCCCCCCCCCTATCAGTCTAAAACAGACTTTAAAACTTTAAATTTTAATAGTTTTTTTTGTTTGTTTTAAGACTAAAATTGCATTACAAATCAACTACGTCTACTCACATGCAGACATATGTTTATGTCCGCGCGTTATATGGAGGTAACAAAACTAGCAAGGTCATCCGATTACGTAGTTGTATGAACAGGACCAACATCTGAAAAGGATTATTCTTGCGCAGATTTTGTGTATTGCAAAAGGACACGAGAATTAACTGAGCGAGTAGTGTTTCCAATGCTAGAGGAGAACAGACGAGTATGGGTTCCTCTTGATGGTAGGTAAAATATCTAGTCAAGATTGTCGACCCTTTTTTGACTTTGGAGACAGTGTGAAGGTGTCAATAAAATGTAACTCCAGGTTTCCAGGTCTCCAGGTCTTTGAAAATGTCGTTTTTAACTACCAGTGTGAAATCACGTTTCCTCGTGGGGCATCGGGCGAAGACATTTCTATGTCTGTTTCACTGATCCGTGTTGGTCCCAGGACCATATGCTAGGCAATATGTTTAACCATTTGACTACAGAGGCGGACTAACTACCAGTGGGTAAAAGTAATAGTGTAAAGGTATTGAGTATTTTTTAACTGCCTGAGTTTGAACATAACACATTAAACGGTTTGACACCACGGACACGAGGGTCTCCCCGTGACCACGGCGGACGCAAAGCATCCGAAACGTCGGGCCGTAGTTAACATAATTTTCATATAAGTTTAACTAATATACATCGCGTCTTAAACCGTTTTTTTAAATGCTGCTGCTCGTAACGTAATGATCTACGTAACGTAGTTATTTTTATTATTGTCTTTCGGGCTGTTCGGCCGATGTGAGCGAGAAGAGGTTCTTTCGAGCGTTCGAGCAATCGAGGAGTCAACATCTCCTGAAGATGCCGTCCACACGTGATGGCGAAACGTCGAGAACCTCTTCTCGCTCACATCGGCCGAACAGCCCGAAAGACAATAATATGCTGATCGATGGCCGTGAAAGCCTTACTCAATTTATTGTAGTTATTTTTCTTCGTTTTTGTTAAATTATTGTTAATTTGAAGACTAAAACAAACTACTTAGGAATAAAAGCTTTACTGCGTCCATTCTGGATTGTTACCATGACTGCATGAACCACAAATGCTACATAACAATAGTGAATTGAAAAAAAAGAAGACAAAGCATTTAAATACTTTCTACGTATATTTTAATAAAACAAACGTTTAATAAGTATATATCGCGTTTTAAACAGTTCAAGTGTAAATACTGTCTATAGTTAACGCGAGTAGTACACATTTAAATAAAACACTTTAACGGTTTAAAACGCGATATATTAGTTAAACTCATTTTCAAATAAGTTTAACTAATATATCGCGTTTTAAACCGTTAAAGCAGTTCAAGTGTTTTATTCAAGAGGCAATTATTTTATTATTATTTTACCAATTTTACCAAGCCACTTTCTTCTATGTCAAATGCTAAAGGTTTAAGGGAAATTCTTTTTTCAAATTTCATAATTCGTTGACAGCACTTTAAATCGTTCCCCTTCGAAATATTCGTCTATGGCGTTCTATATCATTCTTTTTTCAAATTCATAAATTGCGCATAGGCAGCGAAATGTTTACCCGGATTAAGTTCTGTGCAACAAAAACAGCGCACACGTGATGCGGATCTGGGTTGCGCCCGGTGGTCCTTCGCTATTGTTTTAGAGGGGGTTACAATTTACGTCATGGGGGAGGGATTAGGTTGAGTTTAGATTTGAGGATGTAGAATTATGCGTTTGAAGTTTATAATGGTAAACAGGAATTGTTATTATTTCTTTACAAAACAATTAGTGCGTTAAAGTTTAGTTCTTAGGGAATAAAATGGTGATTTAAGTGTTTGAATTTTGACAGATTTCATGTACTTATCAAAATAAGCTGTAGCTTTTTAAATTTACTCAGACAAAAACCTTTAAAATTTTTTTTGGTTATGTTTAATAACTAAAACCTAACTTCTTAATTTTCTAGCGTTTTAAAAATATTTTTGTATAAGCCCAATTTAGTTAATAATTTAGCTATTAATAACAATATGTGTTAAACTTACAGAAATATAAAGTATTTAATCTGTATTAAAGTCGTTTATATGACATATTTAATGTCTACGTAAAGTTCGGTAGATATGCCTGCATTTAAGAAACAAACAAACATCAATCAAATAAAAATCAATATATAAATAAGTAATTAAGAATTTATTTAAGATAGACAATAAACTTATGTTTTTGTCTGATAACTAAAACTTAAGTCTTATCTATCGCTTAGGCCACAAAAATAATTATTTTAATGAATTTCGGATGCTCGCAGCAGCCGGTGGTCACGGGGAGACTGTCACAAGTTTAACTGAAATATATCGCGTTTTAAACCGTTAAAGTGTTTTATTTACATGTGTACTACTCGCGTAAACTACAGACAGACAGTTTTAAGTCTCAGTTGCTTAGTTATGTATGCTTCCGTTACACTAAAAAACAAACAAACACACATACATTGTATCTTGTACCTCTTCTACCCTTATCATCATTCAATTCATTCACAAATCTCAATCATTCATTCTATCGGATTCGAATTTCGAACGTCTCCGATGTCTATGCTCAAGATGGCCGATATGCAAATGATTTAATTGATTTTCGCTCTTTGAACGCGAATGTGTGTTCGCGCATAATAATGACTCATTTTACACTTACTATCAATAAAGTGTGTGTTGATGACTTATACATAGCTTTGTTATATTTCAATGTCATGTTAAGCGATAAAAGAAGATTAAAAATTTCGCAAAGAAGATTCGAACCCGCTCAAACGTAAATATAGGTATACAAACTAAATACACGCCTTGGGCTTTATCTCTCCAAATGTTTAGTAAGTGAACAAAAATGTCGGATCGTAGTTTACTACTTTACTAACATATTCCAGTTTAAAACCGTCTAAATTGTTTTATTTAAATGAGATCAATTATTTTCAAAAGAGGTAGTACCTTAGTTGAAAGCATTCCTAATTAAAAAAAATGATGATACTTTAGGATTCGAACCGAAGACCAACAACGTACAGTTGCTTGAGATGCGAACCGCTGTGTAGGTGTTTTTTAAATGATCAACCCTTTCGGATCAAGCGCAGTCGATACAAGCTTTCATATGTACAAACATACTTTCTGACTTGACGTAACTTTCTTTAGCTATTTGAAATATTTCTATGAAATTTGATTACCATACAACGGTTTTGTGCGTTAAACCTAAAAGACATAACTACTGCCGCGGACATTTTATTAGATTATTGAAAGAAGATTAAATAATTAAATAAAAATAATTCTTTTATACATATTTTTTGGACATCTTGTACCTTTTTCGTAAACACACAAATAATCATTTGGCAGCAGTAATTCCAGAGATCATCGTTAAAACAAGAAAAAACTCTTCAGCTTTACTATATTACTATTGTCACACAAAAGCAATAATTACATTTCTACATCTAATTTATGTATTCTTAATACACTTTGATTATTACAAAGTGCATCGGTCGAGATTCGAACCTATAGCCAGCCCCCGAATGGATTTATTTGATATCAATCTTAACCGTTGTTGTGCAACATTATAACGTCATTATCCCCAAAACACAATGGGCTGACAATTGACAAACGCGTCAAATTGTATACGGGTCCTTTGCAATTATTGTACCTGTGGACTTTTTTGTAATTTTTTTTTCGTCGGAAACGGACATCGGAAGAAGGTGCAAGCAGCCAGTATCATCTGGAACCTGTTCGCGTAAGGTGTAATTGCGCATTTGACTTTGACAGTTCGTACAATGAAAAGTGACAATTGAAGTAAGTTTGATAGTAAGGAGGTTTTATTTCGAGTGAAATTTATTGTAATAATGAAATATCCGAGTAGACGGGAATACGGCAGATATTCTACTAAATTTCAATTGGACTTCCGTAAGTTATTATTTACTCTGTTACAGTAACTTTATTATCTTTAAGCTTGTATTATTAATATTCAAGTATGGCAACACAAAATGATAAACTTTTCGATGGAGTATTTGGTAGCTTTTGGCCTAACGTATTGGCGAAAAAAAAACTAATAATTACTATCACGTATGTATTTTCTTTAATTTAAGTGATCGTTGAAATCATATAGATAAAGATACTTTGGCAAATTCCTGTGCAATGAATGTTACATACCTCTAATTAAATAGAAATAAATCCGAAATAAACAATATAATAAAAACTTTAATTAAAAAAATATTACAATACCTTTCCCCGTGTCCCCATGACCGCGGCCGCTGAAAGCATCTGAAACCATAACAGCAGTTAAAACAATCATAAAGTATGAGTTTAACTAATATATATCGCGTTTTAAACTGTTAACGTGTTTTATTTGCGTGTGTACTAGTCGCGTGACTACAGACAGTATTTTCTAGTGTTTTGCAGCTTATCATTGGTCGTAGGTTCGATTTCTTTAATGAAAATACAAATGTCAGCCTCGTAACATTGTGTAGCTTTTAATTCAGCTGTTAACTATTAACCTAACCTTCGCAAACAATGCTACTTCTCGTAAATTCCAATCGATAGCTTATAATAGTTTATGAGTTGTACTATAAATGACGGCCATATGTTCTGATTATTGTCGCGCTTTTAGCAAATAAAGCTATTCCGTATTTCTGTAAGCCGCGGTCATTTGTAAGCATTACCGTGGAATTGAATTATTCATCGATGTTGTTTTCCCGCCACGATCTGGTCGAAATTCGGTGTTGCCAGTATCAGTTCATTTTGAGATGTCTGAAATAATGTTCAGTTTATACAAGTGGTAAATTAAACGTGTTTAACTGCTCAAAATGGGAAATATATTGATTTAAAAACTTCTCATATATGCACATGATGGCATTTGTTTTTTTTTAATCTGTGGATCTCCTTATATTAAAAATCTGTTTAGATAAAGCTACCGTGTCCTACCAATAAACATTCTTCAGTGTCAACAGATTTTTAATTTATATGCATGTTTAATTAATTTTAAGTATCTGCTATCGATGTCTGGGCTTAAACTACTTAACTACAAACTTAAATTAATTGTTTTAATTAAAATAAATCTGTCAAATACTTGTCAAAATAAATAATCAAATGAAGGAGCAGGAATGTTCTCTCCGGGTCACGAACGGCCGTCTACTGATAGAAGATAGAAAAGTCGAAGTCGTGTAATTAGATTTTAATGTGTGTCGAAAGCCAAGAGATAGGGCAATCTTGATTATGTTAGGGCATTACAATTATTGCAGCTCGTAATTTTATTTTCTCCTTTATCCTTATAATTCTTTATTAGTAATACTGGCTGAATATATCTTCATATATTTTTAAAGATGGCTCGCAGCGTAAAATTTCCCGCCATTTTCACTCGACTTGTGTTTTCTAGCGCAACAAAAGTGCCCTCGTGCACAGATTATAAATATTCATATGTATCATCAGGCGATGTAAATTTTTAGTTTGAATAATTTCATAGTTACGTGCTCGCATAAGAAATACATATATTTTTTATTTGAATTTATTCTTTAATTATGACTTTTTGAGTTTACTTAGTCCGTTTCACTGATCGTTACTTTGAAAGGCAATTATGTGATCAGGCATCTGTGCCCTACCCGACCCAAACAATCTATTTCTTCCCTGGTATTCTCAGGACCTCTCACGCTTACCGCAACGCTAGGCAACACATTTAACAATTCGGCTACAGAGAAATTTAAATCAAACGGTTTAAAACGCGAATTGTATTATGAATACGAAATGTGTGTTAAAATTATTTCCAACAAGCGTGCATCCGAAGAAACTAAAACCGTCGGGCCGTACCCATTTTTTGTAATAATTTGTAAATAAGTTAAATTTGTTAATAAGTTAAGTGTTTTCTCTAAACATATATTTGATTTTATTATTTTTATTGAAAAACTTGAAGAAAAATTAATTATCATGTTTGGAACGGGTTTTCGTTTTGAACCGTCAAAATCATTTGTCCATGCTTTAATATAATCTATATATTGTTCATAGCGTGCCGCAAGGACTCGCGGCCACACTCCCTTAACGCTGCTATCATGAAAGAGAAGAGCAAAAATGCAGCAAGATCAAGAAGAGAGAAGGAGAATGCCGAGTTCCTCGAGCTGGCAAAACTGCTCCCCCTCCCGTCCGCCATCACGTCACAGCTGGACAAAGCCTCCGTCATCAGACTGACCACGAGTTACCTGAAGATGCGACAGGTTTTCCCTGATGGTATGTTAAAGAACTTGAGACAGAAGACCTGGTCACCCATTTTGATGGCTTGTTAATGTAATGATAGAGATGTGCGGGTTCGATCCCTGCATCGGGTCCAACATTTTTCTAATCTATTTATTAATTTTCTGATACATGTTGAACTTCTGGAAATCTGGATATTAAATTGGTGACAGCAATATCGTAATTCCATACGGGTCACGAACTACCGTCAACAGATGAAAAATCTACGCAGTGACAGCTGAAATAAAAGCTGAACAATGCTTTTGACTCCTTAGTAGGTACTTATTCTCCAAGTGGAGCGCGAGACATTTAACTGTTTAAAACACGAAATGTGTTAGTTATTACAATATATTTTAATTGCGGGCCGAACTCTTCGGAGCAGGCAAGGTCACGGGGTGACTCATACAGACAATATATATAACAGAAATTAAAAGTTCAATAGAAAGATGAACATTTTAAAAACCAACGAATTCGTTTCACTTTTCTATATGCGTTCATCTTTCATGATTTCCTCTCAACGGTTAAACCATTTTCCAAGATATCCACGGATGGCACCGTCCGACATAACTATTTAATACCATCAGCATCCCTCAGGTTTGGGAGACGCGTGGGGTGCTGCTCCGCCACCACCACAGCCTCGGGAACTCTTCATAAGAGAGCTGGGTTCCCATCTTCTTCAGACCCTGGACGGCTTCATCTTCGTGGTGGCTCCGGATGGCAAAATAATGTATATAAGTGAGACGGCCTCCGTTCATTTAGGTTTGAGTCAGGTATGGAATTTATCTGCTTACATACATATACTATTTTAATTAAAAATCGATTATAAATTAAAAAAAAATACGCCACGGGCAGAACTTGAATTGGCAACGGCGTTCCGTGCTGTCTAACCAATTGAGCTACCGTGTCCGACATGTCATCGTTGAATTTAAGCTATTGACACACAGCTCTCGCGCATCGTAATTTCAACCTTAACGCTTTTGCATTCAGGTTAATTAATTTTTAATTACGCCCCATTAGTATAGATTATTAACAATTAAACATCGCCATTTATGTTTGAAGACATTAATATTTTTACATGTTATCGCACATGAAGGCACTATATAATTAAAAAATCAAAAATAAATTGAAAAAACTTTCGACTCGGGCAGGACTTGAACCGGCATCGTCAGCGTTCCGTGCTGTTGCTCTACCAGCTGAGCTACCGAGTTCCGTGCTGTTGCTCAATTAGTAGAGCAACAGCACGGAACGCTGACGATGCCGGTTCAAGTCCTGCCCGAGTCGAAAATTTTTTCAATTTATTTTCGATTTTTAAATCGCTATTTATATTATATTATTTGATCCCCATCGTGTCCAACATTTTTTAAACAATTTGTATTGGAAATCTGGATGTTATAGTGGTAGGAATATCGAAATTTCGTCCGGGTCTCGAACCATCGTCCACAAATGAAAAAGCCGTGAAGTTTAATCGCGTTACGATTTCAGTCTGTGGATTTCCGAATATCGAAAGCCAAAATAAATCTATAGCGCATCTTGTTTATGTAAAGATATTGTGTGAGCTGTCCAAAATATGACCTTAAGTGTCAAGTAACTAGGAAAAAACACCTACCTTTCTGCGAGCTATTCTGGCGTGCGCTGCCATAAACGTTAGTTACACATAATTATGTAATGTGTGATATGATAGACATCATTTAGTTTAAATGCACGATACTACGTAATCCTAATCCTGCGCAGACGAAGTCGCGGGCACCAGCTAGTAACCAATAAAACTGTTTTACTTAATGTTATTATAACGTATAGAGTTTCAACTTGACATTTCAGTTCATGTGTTTTTTCGCCAGGTGGAATTAACTGGCAACTCCATATACGAATACATCCACCAAGCGGATCACGAAGAAATGAATGCAGTGCTAAGTCTCCAACATCCACACTCCTACCTTGGTCACCAGTGTCCTACCATTGGGTAAAATTATTTCTTACCACTTAGTCTTTTAAAAATCTATATAAGTAATTGTTCTTTTTACAGCTCTACCCTATCGGAGTTTATTTATTTGGGTCAAAATTAGAGATTGAAAATTAAGTGCCTTCCCGTAGTCAGATTGTTCTGAAATTTGGTACACACGTTTAATTTAGATGACACTACAATAATAAAATCAATAACATTATGAATCCAAGATGGCCGCCGATACAAAATGGCGGATTACTTATGTTTCCTTAACCCCCGCAATATGGCTATCAAATGAAAGGGCTACACTAGTAAAACGGAAATAACGTCCGGATCACCAACCGCCGATCGCAGAAAGATTGTCCGAATGTTAAAAGACAAAATAGGTCGATAGCGCAATTTGTTTGAATATTATACACCTTCAATAAAATAGCAAAAACCAAGTATCTTTTGAATACGTCTTTGTATATGCAATTATTTGTTATTTCTGTATCTGTTTAGGTACCCAGTTGGTGGCACGTGGAGTGCCAGCGTGGATATAGAGTGCGAGCGAGCCTTCTTCATCAGAATGAAGTGTGTGCTGGCGAAACGAAACGCTGGTCTCACAACCTCAGGATACAAGGTACTTGATGTTTACTCACAACAATAATTATGATTTGAGCGTCTATTGTATTAGCTGTGTCAGCGACTTCATCCGCGTAGAATGGTTATTTCGGGCATCCAAATTTTACAAATTTATTTATTTAAATAAAACTTTTAACGGTTTAAAACGCGATATATTGTTAAACTTATTTAAAAATGATGTTTTACTTCGCCCATCGTTTCGATGCTTTGCAGCAGCCGTGTCAGGGGAGAAAACTAAAGATCTCTGACGTCAAAGTAAAAAATTGCTACGCTAGCGCCATTTGTTCCGTCGAAGTTAAAAGTCATTTTAAAATAAGTTTAACTAATTTATCGCGATTTAAACCGTTAAAGTGTTTCATTTAAATGTGTACTACTCGCGTAAACTATAGACAGTATGTTTTCCTCCTTAACCAACGAAATCGTCCGCGTCCCATCGGTCTTGCAAGTTTATCTTAATAGATAGACATATTCTGTCGCGAACGTTTTTTTTGATCGTTTAAAGAGAAATCATTCTAAAAAAAAAAAAAAAAAAAAAAAAAAAAATTTTTCCGGGGGGGGGGGGGAAAAGGGGGGGGGGGGGGGGGGGGGGGGGGGCTCCCCCAAAAGGGGGAAGGGGGACAAACCCCCCCGGGGGGAAATTTTTAAAAAAAAAAAAAAAAACCCCCCCCCGGGGGGGAAAAAAACCCCCCCAACCCGGGGGGGGGGGGGGGAGCGCCTTTGGGGGGGGGGGGGGGAAAAGGGGGGGGGGGAAAAAAAAAAAAAAAAAGGGGGGAAAAAAAAAAAATTTTTTAAAGGTTTGGGGAGAGGAAGGCACCAAAAAATTAAAAAATCATTCTTTCATACATATTTTTTTAGTATCTTGAACCGTTTTCGCAGCGTACGCAATGGAAACCCACAAGGATGAATGATTTTACCCGATTTTACACACGCTGTTTCTTCACTTCTATTAGTCACAGCAAATATTTTATAGCCTATAGTCTTCCTCGATAAATTTTCTTACCAATTTCAAAATTCATTCGGACCAGTAGTTCCTGAGATTAGAGCGGTCAAACAAACAAAGAAACAAACCCTTTAACGTTATAATTATAGATTTACAAATTTTCCTTACTACCTTGAAATTGAATGAATACGATATACTTGTTTGAACACACTCTAAACGGTTTAAAACGCAAAATGTATTTGCTAACTTATTTCCGACCAACGTTTCGGATGCTTTGGAGTTGGGTCACGGAGGGAAGTTGGTATCTCTAATATCAAAGATAAATCTGGTACTAATGAAACTACTATTAGAATACAGATGGCGCTAGCGTAGTACTTTTGACTTTGTAGCCGAAATTTAGGGGCGTAATGACAATTAATTGTAATTTATTTTCGCGTTTTTGACAGTTAAAAGTGTTTCATTCAAAGAGATATGTCGTTTTCATTCAATTTCGAAGATCTCTTGTAAATGATTCAGCCCTGTAAGTTTCTGTTGCGTACGTTGCGAAAACTGAACCAAAGCTACCGTAGTTATAATAAATAATATTTTTCCAAACACTTACACAAATAAGTACTAGTTTGTAATACCCCTTAACACCCCGGCACCCCTCATAATGTAAGCAGATTTCGTGTGCTCAAGAGTTTTATTTATTAGCTGGGGGGAAAGAGATTTGAATAGCTGTGAATTGTACATACTCTTTGGTGTTTTTTTATGATAGAGCACAGACAAGCACGGGGTTCACGTGATGTGAGGCGAAATAACCCAACGGTGCAATGAGTTTTAAACCGTTTAAAGTGTTTTATTTAATATCTTACGCAATTGTTCTGTACTTTATCTATACTAATATATAAATCTGATGGATTTGTTCGTTTAGTTCAGGAACTTCAGGTTTGAATTGAAAAATTGTTTTCGCGTTGGTAAGAGCAGTTATTGGGGAAAGGTTTAGGATAGATACGACATCGCCCTGAGACAAAATTGGGAAAATTGTATATCATTATGGGTTTCCGAGGCGTACGCTGCAAAAACGGTTCAAGATACCCAAAAAATATGTGCGAAAGAATTATTCCTCTTTAAATGTTCTCAAAAAATGTCCGTGACAGTATATATGTCTATCCTTTAAGATTAACTTGCAAGAACGAGAAGGGACGCGACCGAAGTCGTGGGTAACAGATGTTTTATAGCCTATAGCCTTCTTTGATAAATGCTCTAACCAACACAAAAAGAAGTTTTCACTTCGAACCTGAGTTTAGCGCGTTCAAACAAACAAACTGTTCAGCTTTATATATTCCACATACCTGTTTTTTTTTAATGTCATTTTCAATTTTCCCGAAGGTAATCCACTGTTCCGGTTACCTGCGCGCGCGACGGTTTGGCGAAGGTTCAGCGCCACTCGGTTTGATCGCGGTGGGGCACTCCCTACCGCCATCTGCTGTTACTGAACTGAAACTACACTCCAATATGTTCATGTTCCGAGCCTCGTTGGATATGAGACTCATCTTCTTGGACGCTAGGTAAGTCTTACATACTGTGTGTACTTTACGCGAGTAGTACACATTTAAATAAAACACCTTAACAGTTTAAAACGCGATATATATTAGTTAAACTTATCAGACGGGTCAGTCTCCCCGTGACCACATCTGCAAAGCATCCGAAACGTCGGGCCGCAGTTAAAAAAAGAATTTTCATAGAAGTTTAACTAATATATATCGCGTTTTAAGTTAAAGTTATTTAAATGACTACTCGCGTAAACTTCAATTTATTTTCACGAATTAAGTCACGGCAGGACGGGAGCCGGTATCCATAATGTTCCGTGTTGCTCTAACTAATTGAGCTACCGTGTTCTATTCGTTATCGTTAAATATTAAGCTATTGATAATGTATCTTCTATGAATATTTTTTTGCAAACAACCTCCTTAGCTTTATAAATTACTAACCGTGCAAGCGACTTCGTCCGCGTCTACCGAGAACGCGCGGGTACCGAGTCTACGACTCGGTAGCTCAACTGGTAGAGCAACAGCACGGAACGCAGCTTGAACGCCGGTTCAAGTCCAGCTCGATCGAAAATTTTTTCAATTTATTTTCGATTTTTAAATTATATACGGCCTTATTACAAAAAAATACTTAAACCAGAACTGCGGAGTTTTGGTTTAATCTTAAACCACGGTCTAAATGAATTTAAGTTAGCACCATAGTTAGTCCAGCACAAACGTTAAACTTCGTTTTGTAATAAGGATTTCAAATAAATAGCCAGGTTTAAGGGTTAGCTGTTTTGTATAAGAGTGCCTGTTGCCGCTGACATTTTAACCAGGTTTAAAGAAGAGTTAGTCTTTGTTTTGTAGTAAGAGTGCCTGTTGCCGCTGACATTTTAGACCGTTTAAAGACAAATCATTCTATCGTACATATGTTTTGGTCTGGTCACAGCGTGATTGTAAATAGTCTAAAGATTTCGTCGAGAAATGGTGCAATGAAAGCTAAAATATTTTTTTAATCGAATCAATACTTCCTGATCAAGAATGGCTAAAGCAACAAGTATAGGGTGTGAAAGTTCTCAAACAATGTGTATTTCTCCTGTCTTTATATAACTACCTAATATTGTGTAAATAAAACACTTTAACGGTTTAAAACGCGATATATTAGTTAAACTTATTTGAAAAGGATTTCTAACATCGACCCGACGTTTTGGATGCTTTGCAGCAGCCGTGGTCACGGGAATTAGTATTGTGTTGTCTGTTATTTAAGCAAGTGGTGCACATTCAAATAAAACACTTTTATCGGTTCAAAACACGAAAGTTTAATATTCAAATACCAACTACGATATAGATGACGCTGGCGTGGCAGATTTGATTTGACATTAGGGGCATTAATGTAAATTGTAAATAAGTTAACTGATACATTTCACGTTTCAAACCGTTTTATTTAGACATAATATTATACTTCAAATGAAATAAATTTTATTGTTGTAAACCATTTCTGTGGTGTTTGTAATTAATAAAGTTAATAAATAAATAAATGTTGTTTTGACAGAGTAGTTAACAATAGCGTATTTGTTAACTACTCTGTCACCATTGGGTCAAAAAACCGGTTTTAATTTCAATGGTAACGATTTTAAGATGAAATAAAATGTAAAAGCCATGAGAAGGTTCGTCGAAGTTACCTTCATTCGAGCATTGATTGGCGTGAACTAATAAATTTGGGCGCGTTTCCACTACACCACGATAAATCGTAAATTTCGAATATCTAATGGAGATATAAAACCTAAACCTAAGAGTCAGTAGTTAATATTTATAAGTGTGCTACAAAGCAAATAATTATCTATTAATATTATAATCGTAAAACAATCTATACTTATATATAAAGCTGAAGAGTTTGTTTGTTTGAACGTGCTAATCTCAGAAACTACTGAAAAATTCTTTTTGTGTTTAGAGCATCTATCGAGTAAGGCTATATGCTATTATTTCATCGACCTATATATGTATAATAGGAGCGAATAAACGGTGCGAAATGTGGAAAAAACGAGGAAAATTATGTATCCCCGTGGATTTCCGTTGCGCACGGTACAATAACGGTTCAAGATACTCTAAAAATGTATGAAATAAGTATGAACAAATGATTCCCCTTCAAACGATCTAAAAAAATGTCCGCGATAGTTTATTTCTACACAACTAAAATTTAAACAGACTACGTTAGTTAGAGAAGTAGACTTTGTCTTAGGGACACCCTCCACCGTTATTCCCCCGTGACCGTGGCTGCAAAACATCCGCAACGTCGCCACGTCGTTAAAATAAATCGTTAATTAACTAACTATTATTTCACGTAAGCCGTTACGAGTGTACGAATGTATTGCACGTATAAACTACGGATCAACTACATACAGTACTTCGTAAGTTATTGATTACTAGCTGTGCCAGCGACTTCGCCCGCGAGAATCGTTATTTATATCCAAATTAGTTATTGCAAACCCCGTCATCTTTATAGACTTAAACTCGTCGTAGCCACGCCGTCGGTCGCGTCCCTTAACGTAGTTCTTGCAAGTTAATCTTAAAAGATAGACATATAGCGTCGTGGACTTTTTTTTAGATCATTTAAAGAGGAATTATCCTTATATATACATTTTTTACGTATCCTTAACCGTTTTCGCAGCGTCCGCAACTGACCCACAGAGATGAAAATTTTCCCTCGTTTTGTTCACATTTCCCGCTGTATCTTCGCTTCTATTAGCCACAGCGCTTCTATTATAGCCTAAAGCCTTCCTCGATAAATGTTCTAATTCAACACAAAAATAATTTTTCAATTCAAACCCGTAGTAGTAGATTAGCGTGTTTAAACAAACAAACAAACTCTTCAGCTTTATATATTAGTATAGATTGATTTTTCGTACCACCATATATGCAACTGCGTCCTAAGGGCCCACACTATTGACCACGTTTCTCGGAACGCCATAAAGATTATCGTCCAATGTCACATGGCTGTGCGCAATGGGCTTGGAAAATTATTTTCAAGAGCTTATTGTTCGGTAAAGTTCGCGATGGCGTTTTGCATTACATGGCTGGCACAGATTGAATTTAACAGTCGGCTGTGATACAGGAGAAGATGTGGTTCACTGGATCGTAGGAAATACCCCTGCCTACAGCATCTAAACAAGATGTGTCGTCGACCTTTTTTTTGGCTTTGGATATTCGGACTGACACTGAAACGTGATAAAACTTCACGACATTTTCATCTATGTACGGTGGTTCGTGACGCACGAAATTTTGATATCCCTTCCCTTAATATCTTGATTTCTAGGTGAAGTCCAACATGTTTCAGAAAAATGATAAAATTTAAATAAAACATTTTAACGGTATAAAACGCGATATATTAGTTAAACTTTTTTTAAAATGATTTGTTAACTTCAGCCCGACGTTTTGGATGCTTTGCAGCACGCGTGGTCACGGGGAGTCTCCCCTGACCACGGCTGCTCACTAATATATCACGTTTTAAACCGTTAAGGTGTTTTAATCAAACTAACTCTACAGCTTTATTTATTAGTTTAAATTTAGTCATTACACATTAGCAGTGAAAACATATGAACTAATCTCGACCGATGTTTAGAATCGCCAGCTAGTTTACTGGTTAGAACCGATTGTTTTCAAACAATCCCAACTGGCGTAACTGAACTGTGCCACAGCTTTCTAGTAACACCGTATCACAGTACTAGGAACTGCATAGTTACATTTGTTGAACAAAATATCGATATTGCATGTCTAAACACACCTGAACTACGCCAGATGTTCGTAACTCAATACTGTTTTAATTGTCATCAGTAAACCAAATTTAGCTAAGAGATAATGTGAGAGGTGTATGTATAAATAAGTTGAAAAAATTCGACGATGACGTGTGGGACTCGATAGCTCAATTGGTAGAACAACAGCACGGAACGCTGCGGACGCCGTTTCAAGTCCTGCCCGAGTCAAAATGTTTTTCAATCTATATAGTGCCAGCATGTGCAATGACATGTGATAATTTTTAAATAAAATACTCATGCTGGTTTAAAACACGCAATATATTAGCTTATTTACAATTTATATTAACTACGGCCGTGGCAGTTTAACTTTGCTGTTAGGGACAACCTCCACCTTTAAGTGACGCCCTGCGACCACGTCTGCTGTAAAGCATCGTAAACGTTAGGCCGTAGTTAAGATAAATTGTAAAAAAGTTAACTAGTACATTTCGCGTTATAAGCCGTTGTTATTTTTCACATATTACACACGATGGTTTTGTATAAATTAAAAATATATTTTGATAGAAAAAATTGAACGACACGGGCGGGACTTAAGCCGGCATCCACAGCGTTAACGTTCTATATCATTACAATACTTTTTTACAAGATAAGACAAAAACTAACTGAAAATGGAAAATAACTCGGAAGGTACTGTCTATAGTTTACGCGAGTAGTACACATTTAAATAAAACACTTTAACGGTTTAAAACGCGATATATTAGTTAAACTTATTTGAAAATGATTTTTAACTTCGGCCCGACGTTTCGGATGCTTTCCAGCAGCCGTGGTCACGGGGAGACCGAAGTTAAAAAGCATTTTCAAATAAGTTTAACTAAAATATCGCGTTTTAAACCGTTAAAGTGTTTCATTTAAACTCTGAAGGTTTTTAACTGTCCCCTCAAATTGATAAAACGTATTCCTATAATAAATCTATTCATTCGAATTAAAAATAAAACAAATTAAATTTTATATTTGTAAAATAAATTCTTAAGGTTTTATTATAAAACGGCTCAATATTTTCATGATAAAAAATATGCTTGCACAACAAAAAGTATGATTAGAACGAAATCAATTGAAAATAACCCATATTACAATGTATCAAAGATGAAAATAGCGTTGTACTAACGGAACGTGTCAAAGTGGTGTCGGGACAGATTGCTTCCTCAGTGTCAGCATAGCGACGACCATGCAGCAGCTTTGTTTTTATTTGCGCTGCATTTTCGATTGTGAACTAAAATCCTCTACGTGATTTCAATTATAACAATCTCAATAATGTCTGTAGTTTTCGCCAGGAGTAGGTACACATTTAAACAAAATAATTTAACTTAACGGGATATATATTAAATAAACTTATTTGAAACCGTAGTTAAAGTAATTTCCAAATAAGTTTAGCTATTATATACCGTGTTTTCAACCGTTAAAATCGTTTATTTAAACATTTTCAATGTTAAATGTAAAATCGATTGTTTAATTTTACACTATGATCCAATTTCGGATGCTTTATATTATTACGGGAGACCCTGTGACTACGTCTGAAAAAATGTACACATATATTTAGTATTATAAGACATACAATAAAATTAATCAACTTATATAATATTTCCCTGGTTGCTGACTTATGTCTTCTAATCTGCGTCAAGCTGATGTCAGCGCTTCCAAGTTGTGTCAGCGACTTCCTCCATGACAATAGTTAGTTTGGGCATCCAAATTTGCGCGTTCAAACAAACTACTTGGGTTAGAGCGTCGTCAATATAACGTAGAAACAATATTAAAATAAATATATCTAGTTGCACATGACGGCATTATACAAACTTAAAATCCATTTCAGTTTGACTTAAGTTCGATGCCATGGACGTGCACAACAGGAAGAACTTCAAAGATTCTGTAGTTTACGCGAATAGTGTACAGCTTTTAATTGTTTAAAAAAAAAAAAAAAGTTCGTTATTTTAACTACGGCTGCTTTGACGCAGCCGTGGTCACGCATAGAGTAAAGATGGGGGGTGTCCCTAACGACAAAGTAAAAACGGATGCGCTAGCGCCATCTATTTCATCGTAGTGATTTGGCGAAACTGGACGGATTCTTGCGGAATTTACTAACGGTTTCTTCGCGTTTGCCGGTATGCTGTTTCTGGGGTCTAGTGTTTTTAAATTATTTTTGTTTTTCCTTTTTTTTTGTGTACTATGAGAAAGTCAATATTGGATAGTATTACGAATCAGTCCGTTAAATTTGTGTAATTTATTTTAACGAGCGTCTCCAACCACTCTCTGTCCAAGAAACACTCGAGGCAGGGGAGGCAAGCGCGTCAAACTGCCGACACGAATAATTGCCACGCGCCTCTTTACACTACGACAAAATAATTGATCTTGTTTCACTATGCTCCACCCCTGGCGTTACTTGCCAAAATCCCAAGACTTCGCCCATGTATTTTATTTTATAGAGTGGGACAAACGTAACCATGGGTCTTACGCTGTCGACCTATTTTGGATATCATATTGGATAATATAGTGCGTGATCCGGACGGAACTACGATATTTCCAAAATTATTTTATATCCAACATGTTTCCGAAAAATTATAGATTTATTAAAAACACGTTTGACCTGTTGGGCATCGAACCCACGGCCCGATGATTATTAGTATTATCTGTAGTTTACGAAACACATGAAACAGAAGTCTTTCACCAGTTAAAAAATATTTAATTTTCATTCATTTTAAATGAGGCCCTGAAGTCGGTAGAAAAGGTTGATTCGGGTCGGGTCGTACCTCATATTATAAAACTTACATATTTTGTGTACCTTTGGAAAGTTATTTATATATATTGATTTGCCTATACTATTTTACACTAATAACAAAATTACTATATGTATAATTATATATTTTATCTACTTATTCCGGGCACTATTAATTTTAGCCAGTCTATTTACAAAATGGCCGACTTAATTGGACAATGTGTTTTAAAATAAAACAACTATTAAACACAATTTTCATAAACAATAAAGATTTAAAAGTATTTAAATAAAACACTTTAACGGTTTAAAACGCGAAACATTAGTTAAACTTATTTGACAATGATTTTTAACTTCGGCCCGACGTTTCGGATGCTTTGCAGCAGCCGTCACGGGGTAATGTCGGGCCGAAGTTAAAAATCATTGTCAAATAAGTTTAACTAATATATCGCGTTTTAAACCGTCAAAGTGTTTTATTTAAATGTGTACTACTCGCGTAAACTATATTGATTGATTCAGTATTCGATTTAAAAGATTAAACAGTTACAAATGTACAATATTAATTTTTATTTTGATGAAAATATCACTGATAAACCATAGTTTAAAATCAAAAGACGATCTAAAAAAATGTCCGCGGCAGTATAGATCTTATCTATAAAATTTACTTACAAGAACGACGGGAAAGATGAAGACGAGGTTTGCAAAAACAAATTTGATGCCCAAATTAACTATTTCACGCGAAGTCGCCGACACAGCTAATAATATAAAAAAGCGAATGTTAGACCGAGATTCGGGGTCGTCTACATTGTTTATCAATACAACATCCATTATCCATTGTGGGGAACAAAAAAAACAATATGCCGCAAATTAACAAAGCCCTCCATCGACAATAGATCAAAACGGAAGCTTAGAGCGCCCTCTATGCCTAATTGGCGGAAGTGATCGGTTTCGCGTCAACACTTCACAAGGGCCGTGTTATTTGACACTGCGATTTTTACGCACGGGTTTGCTCTTTGTTAGAATAACAGGGGATAAGAGGGGTAAAAATGGGGGTAGACATCAAAATTAGGGTCAATTTGTGCTCAATTAAACCTTAAAAACGTGTTTATCTAGTGTAGCGTTAACTAAAAGGGGACCTGCAACACAAATCAGTTAAGTAATCAAACATTTATTGTTTACTAGCGACTTCGCCCACGTAAAATAATTATTTTGTGCATTTATTTTTGCTAACCTCATTTTTATATGATAGCTGTTACCCACGACGTCGTCCGCGTCCCGTCGTTCTTGCACGTTAATCCTAAAAGTTATACATACATTGTAGTGGACTTTTTTTTATCATTTAAAGGGGAAACCATTATACATTATAGATTCCAATGTGCTAATTTAGTATTCAAACCTTTAAAATTATTAAAAAAAAAACTTTAACATTTTATAACGCAAAATATATTAGTTAATTTATCTACAATTTATTTCAACTGCATTCCAATACAGGATGTACTGTCTGTAGTTTACGCGAGTAGTACACAATTAAATAAAATACTTTCAACGGTTTAAAACGTGAAGTATTTTAGCTAACTTACTTACAATTTATTTTAACTACGATCCGACGTTTTGGATGTAGTATAGCATTGTTAGTGTGTATTGCTGTTAGCATAGCATACTTTGCGTTTAATCTACGTGTCATCTATGTTTTTGTTTATCACTACATAGTATAAAACACGTCCGTTTTTTACTACCATATGTGCGCTTAAATCTTTAAACCTACACAACTGATTTTGTTGCGGGTTTTTTAATAGATAGTAATTCAAGAGGAAGGATTTAATGAACAACGGTCACAGTTTTCCGTAGTGTAATTCGTATCAGCAAAGCACCCGAGCGAAGTCGGGGCGGATCGCTAGTTTTATAGTTAGCAATAGCATTACAAAAGTTATGTATCGACTCAAAAATTTAATTTCATGCAAACGTAGTTTAAGAGCCGGCGACTGTTTTCAATATTTTTTTTTATAAAAATGTTTTCTTTCTTTCAGAGTCGCATCGTTAACTGGTTACGAACCGCAGGATCTCATAGAGAAGACGCTGTATCACTACATCCACGGCACCGACGTTTTGCACATGCGCTACTCACATTGTACATGTAAGTTGAATTTAATTTAAATTTACACAAACATGTTTTAAACTACGTAAGCTAATTATAGTAAAAATAATTCTTATTTACCTACCTACCTTGTAAGTATGCACAACGTTAAATATAGATTTACTAACCTCGGAACAGATGGCGATAGCGTAATAGTTTACTTTGACGTCAGAGACACCCTCCATCCTTAGTGTCCCCGTGACCACTGCCCGGCTGCTGCAAAGCATCCGAAACGTCGGGCCGTAGTTGAAATAATTTTCAAATAAGTTTGAAACTGTCAAAGTGTTTTATTTAAATGTGTACTACTCGCGTAAACTACGGACAGTATAATGTTTAGATGTTATATGCTTGGTATTTCACCTCTATCAAATGAACCTAACGCTGTCTGACGTCCAATATGACAAAAAATCTTTTATTTAAATGTAGCATTTTTTTAACATTTGTTTAATTTGATTCTTGCAAAAAAACTCATTTTTAGTTCTTTGACAGTTCACTTCCTACTTTTTATTGGTGAACTCGTGAAGGTGTTACTTTAGATCATTTCAAATGCATTTAACGTCCATACAAACAGTTAAACTATCGAAGTTAATTAAAGACCCTAAAATTTCTATTGCAGTACTAACAAAAGGCCAAGTCACGTCGCGATACTATCGATTCCTTACGAAGTCGGGGGGTTGGGTGTGGATGCAGAGTTACGCAACCATCGTCCACAATTCGCGATCATCACGACCTCACTGCATTGTCTCTGTCAACTACGTATTAAGGTAAAGGGAGATTTTATGAGTTAGCTCTTAGACTATATGACACCGCTAGAGGTAGAGTAGCCTAAGTGCAATTTTATGGCTTGACTGATTTATATCCTAAAAATGTTCATCTACATGAGCACAGTGACCGAAAATTGTTAACATAATTCTTACACAGATACAAATTCATTTTCGCCTAAGTTAATTGCGCATTTTTATTAACCCCCTTATTGAGAATCATGTTTGCTGTAATTAGGCCACTCTGGCTCTAGCAGCCTTAATTATATTAAATCTCTACTAATACAAAAAGCACTATAATACAAAAATAATAAAAAAAATGTATAAAGCGCTAATCTCAGGAACTACTGGTTCGAATTTATAAAAAAATATGTTTATGTTAGAGAGAACATTTATTAAAGTAGGATTTACGCAATAAAACATCGCTGTGCGACTGATAGGAATAATTGAAAAAATTATGAAATTTATTAAATTCAAATTTCCTTTACCGTGCGCTGCGTTTACAAAAACAAATTTTGATGCCTAAATATCTATTCAACACGGACGAAGTCGCTGACGCATTCATAATACATTGTACATTTGTCTTTTACAGCGACATCGAAGAGAAACATCTAATCCTTAACTTAGAGCAAGGCGCGCCAAAGCAAAACACAGACCCGCACATCCCTCACACATCACCACAGATCTCACACATCCGGCACACAGATAAAAATCACGTCAACGACGAATTCAGCGCAGACTACGCGCAAACGTATCCGGAGTACACGTTGCTCCCAGTAATGCCAACATACGAAACGCAGGAGGACTACCAGAACCAAAATGGCTACCAGGACATCTTCTACAACGAGAACTATACGGAACCGGAAATACCGAATTACGCGTACCCACAAAACCAAAGACCGTTTTCAGCCAGTTCGTCTTCGTGTAGCTCCATCGAGAGTTCAGAGGTTAACCAATATAATTACACGAATCTTATCTCCTTCTACGGTCATCAAAATGGCCGACCCGAGGGGAATTTCGGCGGGAACTTCGGAAAGGTAACACCGAATCCGACGGGACAAGAAGGGGCGTACACTAGTGTCATAGTTGATAATACGCAACAGTTCCACGGTGGTAATGTAAATGAATTTGTGCACTGAATGTTAATCATAGACGGGAAGGCGGACCAAAAAGGACTTCATATAAAAATGAGGGTAGATTTAAAAAACTAGTTTGTACAATCTATTAAGATTGTTGGCTACTAAGCCATTATTGTATTCCTGTTGCGTTAGCTCCAGTTTGCTATAGTCAAAATATTGACTATTTAAGCATTGTAAAAATGCAACTACCCTCAATTTTATTTAATTTGTTAGACTAAACTTTATAACCCATTGAACTTTACGTTTTCTTAACGGTTTAAAAATACAACTGATTAACCAAATTCCGTTTGCCGTATGCTTATTTGAAATAACGAAGGTATTTAAACATTTCGTTGACCACAGATGATGTTAACATAACCTAACTATAAGATATTTATTAATACAAATCTCGAATAAACATTGTAAATATTGTACATAACAACCTTCGTGGATTTTTGAGCTTCAGTCGTCATTTGTTCTCGATATTTCGTCATCCCACATCTGATGACGACATCAGATGTGGGTTCCTCGACTTGGAAGACACTATTTCTTCGAAAATCTCGAAAACCCAAAAAGTTTTGTGTAAGTGTAAATAGATATGTTTATGTAATCATTTTTAGACATTGAGATATTATACCTAAGTCGTATCCACAGATGCTAAAATAGAGGCTATGTAATTTATTTTTGAGTTTTTTTTTAAGATAGAGGGGGACAGATTTAATGGTAGGTGAAGTACAAGACCTATTTTGGCTTACATGGCTTAAATCCACAGACTGATACCGAAATATGATTAAAATTCACAGTGCTTTCATCTGTGGTGGTTCGTGACCCGGACGGAATTGTGATATTCCTACCACGCAATGAATATGCAGAATACCAGACGAAGTCCAATAAGCTTAAGGATAATTATAAATTGATTGAAAAAATTATTAGCGACATATCGCTGCCAATACAACGACGAGCCCTTTTAAAAAACCACAGATAATGGTAATCGGACTGTCCTTCTGTTTTGTTCTGTATTCTGTGTATACAAAACCCAAAACATGACCATGCTGCCAAAGGCCTTTAGATAGAAATGTTTGAGAGTTAGGTTCGAGTGAAGATTGCGAGTTCGATACCCGTCTGTGTACTTTTTTACATTTGACATTAGATGTTTCACCGTCAAATATTAAACGTAGATTTAACGCATATATCATGTTATAGACAATAATAGATTTATTTAAATGTAAATAATAGGATTAAAATATATATATAATTATATCAAAACTATTTAATAAATATAAGGCTGTGGTCTCCTAAACAAAGTATCAACGTGCTAACTCTTGTTGCTCTTCGGCTTCCATAACGCAGCATGCGAAAGGGACAACAACAGTACAATAATACCTCCCCCCCCCCTCCTTTTATTCCGAAATACTTCTTCTAAGTTATAATTATTCCGAAGTCTCCCCGCGCCCGGTTGCAAAGCACCACAAACTTCCGGCCGTAGTTAAAGTAATTTGTAAATAAGTTTATCTAATATATTTCGCGTTTATAACCGTTAAAGTACTTTATCTAAATGTGTACTACTGACAGTATTTGAGGATTCTTCCGGTACGGTCATAGCAATGACTCACGCTGTACGCTTTTTTTTATAATCATTTATTTTGCCCCCCCTGGCCAACACTAACCGGGCGTTTAATACAAACTGGACTTTAAATACTAACCAGACGTTAAATAGTAACCGGACGTTAAATAGTAACCAGACGTTAAATACTAACCAGACGTTAAATAGTAACCGGACGTTAAATAGTAACCGGACGTTAAATACTAACCAGACGTTAAATAGTAACCGGACGTTAAATATTAAGGTTAAATAGTAACCGGACGTTAAATACTAACCAGACGTTAAATAGTAACCGGACGTTAAATACTAACCGGACGTTAAATACTAACCAGACGTTAAATACTAACCAGACGTTAAATAGTAACCAGGCGTTTACTTGTAAATGGACGTTAAATACTAACCAGACGTTAAATAGTAACCAGACGTTAAATACTAACCAGACGTTAAATAGTAACCGGACTTTAAATACTAACCAGACGTTAAATAGTAACCAGACGTTAAATACTAACCGGACGTTAAATACAAAACGGACATTAAATATTAACCAGGCGTTTACTTGTAAATGGACGTTATTTACTAACCAGACATTAGTGACCGGACGATTACACTGTACGCGATCCGCGACGTTTATAGGCGACCACAGCCTAACTTAAGGTATTATTTTTGTAATTACGCCTTTAAATAAATATTTTTTAGACGCAAAACTAAATAAAACAGTAGGAAAAAAATAATTATAGTTTTTATTAATTTGATTTTTCCACTTCGAAGCACAAACCATGGATCGATGTTACATTAAATTGTTAATTATTTCGCAATAGGGTTGCCATCGCTTACGGGTGATAAAAACCTTTTTTGAAGCTAGAAAAAATAAAGAAAATTTGAAAACTTTAATATTTTAAACTAATCAAAGGACTTACTTATTAAAGGACAGTCATAATAAAAAAATAAGGATTATATAAATAAAAAATCTATTATGGATAGAAAAAATATTACGATACAGCACGGTAGCTCTATTGGTTAGGCAACAGCGCGGAACGCTGTGGATGTCGGTTCAAGCCTCGCCCGTGTCGTGATTTTTTTTCATCAAAATTTTCTTATAGTGCCATCACGTGCAAAATATTAAAGTTCTCAAAAGATTTATATGTTATATATATTGTACGCAAATTACGGTAATTCTACGCCGAGCTTATTTTTAAAGCTTGTAAAAAATCTAATTGATTTTACTTATTTACTTACTTGTCAGTATTATTTTCGTAGTTATATTATTGTACATAGATTATAACAGCAACGAATAAAAGGGGATAGCCTACTCTTCATATATACCCAGGCCATTAATAAACAATTAAACCCGGTATTTTATTTAAAACAAACTCTAATGTCTATAGTTTACGCGAGTAGTACACATTTAAATAAAACACTTTAACGGTTTAAAACGCGATATATTAGTTAAACTTATTTGAAAATGTTTTTTAACTTTGCAACCGAAACGTCGGGCCGAAGTTAAAAATCATTTTCAAATAAGTTTAACTAATAAATCGTGTTTTAACCCGTTAAAGTGTTTTATTTCAACAAACTCTAATTTTTAATGATGATAGAGAAGGACAGACAACTTCACTTGATAGAAGGTGAAATACATATAATATGCCAGCCATATAATATCTTGACACGATCCGAAAACCAAAACGCGCTTACACTTCATGTCTTTTTTACCTGTATCAATATTCCTACCACCCATTCAATATCTAGATTTCAGAATAATATTTGAAACATGTCGATCCTGGTGGGGACCAAACCCACGACTCGTCAATAGCCATAATTAGCTGCCATTATCCAACGAGTTCTTGAAAAAAATAATGATTTCAAATACATATTTGTATTTATATATGTCAAGTAAAACAAACAAACTAATTGAGAAATTAAACGATATTTTTGTATAAAGAAGGAATGTTTTGTGTCAAAATTTTTCGAGCTTTTTTTCTTTGAATTTGATATTAATTTCTGAGTACATGTAGGTACATGTCTGTATGTTGTCGGATTTCTTAAGATATAGTTAATTAACTTAAAAGATTTTATAATCGGTGACTGCTTTGAGAAAACCAAAAAAAGATACTACCAAAAACTTCGTATCGTATAGGTACTATAATATACTGTATTGTACTATAATTTGGGTCTGAGTACTACTGTGTAAATATTATTAAGAAATCTCGCACGCAAGCTATAAATTGATTATTCTTCATTATTGTCTGTAGATTATGCAAGTAATACACATTTAAATAACACTTTAAACGGTTTTAAACGCGAGATGTAAGTTAACTTTTTTTATATATTAGTTAATTTCTCTTTTGTGACAGCCAAAACGTCGACCTTCGTTTAAATTAATAAAAAAATAGTGACGTAAGATATTTCTCGTTTTAAACGGTCAAAAGTGCTTTATTTAAATGGATTATGATAAATTAATTGTTTATATTCTAAACTTTCGTCAGTATTTTTATAAAACACTATTAACGGCTTAAAACCCAAACCCATTATGCTTCTTTGTATCAATTATATATTTTATTGTCTGTGTATTAATCCGTTAAAAGTTATTATTTATTTTAAAATTTAATTAATTGAGGCTGCTAGAGCCACAGTGGCCTAATAACAAAAACATGATTTTTACAGCGAAAATTAATTTGTACTAAGTATTTATTATACTTATTTGTGTAAGAATTATGTTAACAATTGTCGGTCACTGTGCTCTTGTAGATTAACATTTTTAGACTGTAAAATATAAATAAGTGAAGTCATCAAATTGCAGTTAGGCTACTCTTGCTCTAGCGGCCGTAATTTTAATTAAATTAAATAAATTTAAAACGTGTTTTCTCCAAACAGCAATCGACAAATCTACTAGTCGTAATATAGTCTGAAGATAAGTTTTTATACAGATAAGATTTTCATATGAATTTTGACCAGTCTTTTGTTCAGTCGGATAGAGAATTGTTCGCTATCCGTACAGTCCCAGGCTACAAATGGACATTGAAAAACATGAACCGTACGGATTTATTTATTTGAGTCAAAATTAGAAATTGAAAATTAAGCACTTTCCCGATGTCAGATCTAAAATTTGGTACACACATAAAAGTTGGTTTAATTTAGATGACAATACAATAATAAAATCAATAACATTATAAATCCAAGATGGCCGCCGATACAAAATGGCGGATTACATATTTTTCCTTAACCCCCTCTATTTGGGTATCAGATGAAAAGGCTACACTAATAAAAGTTTTTTTTTTTTATTGATACTTATTATCAATCAAGATGCGTATTTAATTTATTTTAATGACTGTTAAATGCTACTGAACCTAGCATTAAAAAATATTCTGTAAAAATAATGCAAGCTTATGACAATGTAATGATTCAATTATATTTACTCCGT